GGTGATCACTCTATTTGTGGAGTTTCTTATCAAGAGTTTGGATTGGGTGGTTTAAAAGAATAGTCCAATAGTTTGGATTAGGATTAACTAAAAGTGAAGCTGACCATTCCTTTGCCACATGAATCAGGATGCTAATCTGTGTCTATTTGAAGTCTGCACAGATGATTGTTTAACACAGGCAATGATCAAGAAGGAATTTCTTGACTAAAATCACAACACATGATCATTTTCTGTAAGCAAGTGAGGCTGAAAAAAAATCAGATGTTTTGTTAATATATACAGCCTAGGGAGCATATTTGGCCAACATAATAGGAAATTTACAAGCATTTATATAATCTGCGAAATAAAATGGAATATCTACAGCATCCTAAAGTATAACTATTTACAAATAAAGGCAATTAATTTCTAATAATCTTTGTCTCACCCTCTCCATATTCCCTATCTCCATACTCTCGTCAAGGCAATTATGAATAATTATAACATGGGCAGAATAGGCATCATATATCTCGTTTGTTAGTGCAATAGAATCAAACTCTGACTCCGTCTTTACACTAAACAGGCCATTAGTTTCCTAGGTATTAACTACAGCATCCTAAAGCATTAACTACTTACAAAGAAAGGCAATTAATTTCTAATAATCTTCGTCTCACCCTCTCCATATTCTCTATCTCTATACTCTCTTCAAGGCAATTATGAATAATTATAACATGGGCAGAATAGGCATCATATATCTTGTTTCCTAGTGCAATAGAATCATACTCTGATTCCCTCTTTACACTGAACAGGCCATTAGCTTCCTAGGTCCAGTGTGTGTAGACGTGGGGGGACCAGAATAGCAGAAATGACTGGAAAAAAAATTCTCTTGCAAAAGTATATATATACATACAAGAAAATCCTTACCTGAAGCCGCAATTCCCGAGCAGCAAAGTCCAACAAGCCACCTAAGAGCCTCCTCTTAAATATAGGCAATGATTCCTCACGTCTTCAAACCAAAAAGGAACAAACATATGATGACATATACAGGATATAGTAAATTGTACATGCAAACTATTTTATCAACAGAAGCGAATAATGCACTACTATGAGAAGAGGTAGAAAAGCTCTTCCTCAATTGACTCTAGAATGTCATATTTATCATCATTTATACCACCAAATTTTTGTCACAACCAGTCTTGGCATGATTTTCTCCTTTAAATTCCATCAATTAAAATGAAGCATAGACAGCTACCATTTTTTCAACTTCATAATTAAGCATGCATTTTGTGCACTCTAGTTCTTACCAATGACCAAGGCCTGACTCAAATTCAAGGGAGTTGTAACATAGAAAGGCCCGGCATATGTTTTTCTCAGTTCTATCAACTACCCCCTTTTAGAAACCATTAGTGACCCGCTTGGCATGCAGAAATTGGAAATGGAAATGGAAATGGAATTGAATTCCAAACTGACTGTTTGGTATGATGAAATTGGAAAATTCTGCAATTTCAGCTCCACCAAAATAGGTCGAATTGGCTTCCATCAAGCAACCCATGGAAGCCAATTCCATCTCCATGCAGTCCATTTTTACCCTTCCCTCAACCTTCAAGCTTCACACTGCCAACCTTCAAGCTTCACACTGCCAACCTTCAAGTTTCACATCATCTCACCTCACTGCAGATGATGTGGCCTCCTTAGAGTCTGTTTTTCCCTTCAACTGTGAAGTCTACAAGCACCACCATTCCTCCTCTTTGCTTTCCATCATCATTCTCCTCTTAACCAAATGTGAAGCAACAATGTTGGCGACAATTTCTGGATCTTCATTCAACAGTGATGACATTATTCTTTCAAATCTGAGTTTACAGGTGGAAATTTCTTTCCAATTACCATCTTCTTCCTCCAGCAACGTTGACAGTCACAATGGCGATTTTTGCATCTAAGAACCATGATTTTTGCTTGTGCTTCATGATTTTCACTTTGAAATCTAGCTTTCTTTTTTCTGGCAGTCATTGATGGTGATTTCTGGTTTATTTCTGGATGGTAATTTTTGGGTGCCTTGTACTGTTGCTTTGATTCTTTTTCCCCCTCAGTTTCCATGACATTTGGTTCTTAGCGGATGATTTTAGTTTTGAGGGGCAGCCAATGGTAGTTGTCGACGGTGATGAAGAATGGTTGGATGGAGGAGGTTTTTTTCCCCCAATTTCAAAGGGCATTTTAGTATTTACATATTTTAAATATATATTTTATTTAAAAATTAAGTTAGATTCCCATACCCATACCAAACATCTTTTTAAAGACCATGGCCATATCCATTTCCAACTCCATATTCATTTCCATTTCCATCAAAATCAATTCCAATGCACCAAACAAGCTAGGTCATAAGGCATCATATGGTCCTTGAGTCTCTTGAGATGGTTAATGACTGCAAACTTCCAAAACAAATCACTCAAATTTTGGTGATAAAGTCTTATAGACCTTCAAATACAAGGCTGATCATTTTCCTTCATTTTATTAAGCATTGCCATGCAAACAAAAGCCTTTACCTTAGAAGGGGTCCCTGACTTTCTAGGCAAAGTTTGAACCCAGAAGAGTAATATTTGAACTTTAAATAAGAAGTAAGAAAGACAGACACATGAAAGATCCCAAAGAATCTAAATTCCATATCCTTTGATTGAGCAACAAATGATATTACAGAACAGGAAAAGTCTAGCATTAACATTTCTCAAAATCTGAACCTTTGATGAACAGAGACTACTTTGCCAATTAAGAACTTAGAAATAAAAGCATTATGCAAAGAGGATAACTGATAGTAGTTAAGGAGCAGAAGCTTCACCAACCCATCCACTAGTCCTTGAAAAGAAAAAAATGTGACATGAAAAGAAAGCATATAAGGGGCAAAATACACAAGGAGATAACTTCTAGGAGCCTGATTCAGAAGCACCAATCCCTAATTATCATCCCATTCATTTTGCTGAATAATCCCATTCATTTTGCTGAATACCACATTTACTTCTGACCAACCTATGACACAAAGAAAAAGAAGACTCCAAGGAAGACTGTCAAGGCCACTTAGCCACTAGTGATATATTTCAAACACCAAAAACAGCCGGACCCAACCCCCTCTCCTTGTTTGATCTGCAACACACTTCCTGACTAACCAAGTGACCCCTTTTACTCTCACCACAACCAGATCCAAGAAAGCCTAGCATAATGTTGTCTATCCAATTCACTACCCTGTTAGGTAAGCTGCAAAATATTAAGAAAGGGTTAAGGGTGTGGTTTAACTAACTCAATGAGCCACAAATTGTTAGTTAATGGCTTACTTATTCTATAAGGCCATAAGAATGGTTTTGGTAGTTAGGTTTAATTCGTCAGGATCCTAGGACATTAGCTCAGTTATACTAAATCTATGCAGCTGTATAGATAAATAGGGGAGCCTCTGTTATTGTTTTTGCTGATAGTTTGCTTAAAGAAGTATTCAGTTCCAGCTCTGTTTCCTCTCTCTTTTCCCTCTCTTCCCTTTCTCTATGATTCTCTCCTTCCCTCTGATTCTCATTTCTTCCTCTTATCTTCACTCTTTCTATAACAACCACAACATACCCCCGCTGGAAACTTAAACAAAGAGACATAGTACGGCAGGGTTGTTCTCAGGACAGTTACCTAGTCAGTTAGATTCTGTCACCAGCAAACAAATTAACCAATAAATCAAATGGTTAAGAACTATCTAATCGATGCAAATCACACCAATATTAACTGTAGTAGGAGTAATTTGAGTTTCACTTTGCTGATAAATTGAATCTCTTTCTTTCTCTCAGTTGCAACTCTCCTTTCTGTGTTCTTCTCTAGTGCAGCCTCTACTATTCTCGTACTAAACCATTGATCCAAGGCTTCTGACAGCACCTAAAACTCAAGCTCAAGATTCAATGACCGAATCTGATCAACACTAGGAAAAAACCAAATCTGGAAGAGACAGACTGAGACAAACAGTAGCTCACATTAAAGGTCTTAAGGATGATCTGGCAATCAAGGTCACAAGGATAGTTGAGAACAATGATAGAAATCTATATTGTAATAAAGATGCTATTTGTTCAGATGAATTACCCCTGGAATATCAGCTTTGGAATAAAATAGTTTTTGTTCAAGAAGCCCAGATCCATGGAGGTGAAAAACCCTTTTTGTAAAGGGATCATAGCATTTGCAACCCTTTGTAGTGAGGAGAGTATCCTAACAATAAGTAGTTGATTGATTTAGGATCAAGTTCGTGCCTTCATTGAGATATAATATGAATGTAAGCTCGACACCCCAAGATATTTACAAAGATCATCAAGAAGTCTGGTTTATCAGAAGGCTTCGAGAAAAACTTGACAAGAAATGTCAAATTTTATTGTCCTTGAGTAGTGGCAGTCCTGATTGGTAACAAATAACAATCCCAAAGCTTATTAGGACTAATAAATGCTAGTTAACAAACAATAAAATAGGAACAAACTCCCTAAGACTGAAAATCCCAAACTTGCGAATAAATTAGGATGAAAATCAGCAAGTCCACACACTTTGTACACTTCACTTACATCTATCACACCTCCCATTAATAGGTCACTAGGAATTTCATCAACTCTTGCATTTATGTCAAACCGTCTACTATGTTTTCTAACAGTAACAAATTAAAAAGATACAATGGTCATACAAAGGAAGTGAGGAGGGAAAATTACAGGTAGCTTAAAAAGGCAAAAAAAATTCACCTTTTTCGAAGTTCTCCTATACTAGATCCGCCGACAATACAAAGCCATTCTGCACAATGAATTGTCATTTCAATATCCTACATAAAAAGAGCAACACCAACCAATATCAATAAAGCAGATAAACAGATTTCATGGAGGCAGACAATCTGACGATCAAAAATAAGTTAAATAGTGGAGGGATACATGGATCAGATCAAATAAGCAAGAAAGCAATACAAGGTTAGAATATAACATAAAATCTACGTGGTCAGTATGGAAACAAAACTATATCAAAAAAATAATAATAATCAATTCTCACAGAAACAGAAAAACATTTAGCTAGTCTACTGAAAAAAACTTCATAGAACCAAGAAATTTAATTCTTCCCGGCCTAGTAAAGCAAGTACAGCTACATGTTTGAGCATGATTGCCAGCGGGTTTGCAGAAAAACTGATCAAAAAGTTAAAAATATTACTCCCTCTATTCCTTCTTATAAGACATCTTTTAGAATGTTTTGATGTTCCTATTTATAAGACATTTTGCAAGATATAGGCATTAGTGGATTTTCTTTTCCAAAAAAAAAAAAAAACTAAAAGAGAGTATTTTAAAATTCTTAAATTAATCAAGCGAGAAGAGTATTTTAATGAAGGGTACTTGTGGAAAGATTAGGTAATTTAAAGACATCAACTTTTTTTTTTTTGGTGTAAAGTAGGTAAATTGGTCTTATAAAAAGGAACAGAGGGGTAAATTCAAAAAAAAAAAAAAAAAAAAAAAAAGGTTTATCCAGAGACACTAAGGAATATGAAGAAACAACAATTGAACTAGCATATCCAGTGTGGCATCAGAAACTTTACAAATCATTTCAGCCGGTAACTATTGTATCAATTATTGATGTGATAACATCTACGCTTAGGCTGACATCAATTAAATCACGATATTTAAGTGTCAAGTTTGCAAACATAGATGTTGTTACGTGTCAATTGCTGTTCTGTTTAAAATTCTGATAATAGTTGACAAAAGGAATACAATGTAACCAGTGATGAAAGATATAAATACCCAGCTTGTACTTTGATTCAAGTTGCCAAGAATAACATTTCTTGCTTATTATTTTTCTCGCCAAGGTTAACATCCACTTATCTACATATTTTCCTTTTATAGAAAAAGCAAGTCCATTCCGATGACTATGAAAACAAAATTACAAACAAGGAATCAAAAATAAAAGAAAACGCATGTAATACTTGCAATAGAGGATATCATTGCTGTTAGAAGGAGTCAGACTTCGAAGCCCAAGCTCATCAAGCCCACTAAGCAATGTATTTTAATCCTGTCATTTATTTTCTAGATTGTAATCATATTTCCATCTGCCTCCAAAATCTTAGGAATTCGAATCTGATCTTCAGTCACCCCCAGTCAAATTTGATTAGCATATCAGTTTTTGGGTACCGATTTGATAACCATAATGCTCCTACATATGCATCACTCTGTCCTTTATGAATAATGAAAGCTGAGATGCAGTTTACCTCAGTGAATTTCAATTACTATACATGAAAAAAGCGCGCACTCTATTCTATGTTAGCAATCCCAACAGTTGTGCACCAGACATGGCACACAATCCAAAAACTCAAACCAAATCTAAGGTAGAAGTTTGAAAGTTAGAACTTCAACCAATGGAATCAAATAAAGAAAGCAACACAGAGATAGAATTTCGCCCAATGAGAATCAAATACAGAACATAAGACAGACAGACAAACTGCTCATGTAGGGGATGTCAACAGCAACATTGCCAAAAAGCATACAAGACATAAATCAACTGTCACATAAAGCAGGTTAACATGAAAGAGAAGCAATAATGTTATTAAATAGCAACCTTCCATCCATCCTTTTGCCGCATTGAATGCTCTAACATGATAATAAGGAAGTTATGTATAAGGTCCTCTAGTTCTCCATGACTCGTTGAATTTGAAGATTTGGTTGGCGCCATCTGTTAAACATAAAATGCATAAGTAGCACGGTTAGGGAATTTTACAAAAGGATTTCAAGTTCCACGGATTTATAACTAATGATTCCCCCCACCCTCCGCATAAGTATATTATTGTGCGCATGTGCGTACACAAGTGATTATACATATGCACCCATGTGTGTGTTTATATATGCACACAAGTCTGTCCATAAATCTATCTCTATATATTCGTCTGTGTGTGTGTGCGTGCCTGAATATGTACTATCTATACATGTGTTGATACATGCATGTATACGTAAGCACATACAAGCGAAGATTTCTATTTCATAATACTAAGATACCTTGAAACTCAACTGAGGAAAAGGTCTCTATTTCAAGAAGGCAACACACCAAGCAGTAGAGGTTTGCTCCGATGCAGATTGGGTAGATTTAGTTATTGATAGAAGATCAACTATAGACTACCATAAATTTATATGGCGCAAGCTAGTTACCTTCTAAAACAAGGAACAACTTATAGTAGCATATTTTAAGAGCTGAGCCTGAGTTTCAAACCCTTCCACCTGGAATTTGTGAAGGCATCTGTCTGGACAGAGTACTTAAAAAGCTCAAAATTGGAATTGAATGTCCAATCAAGGTATTGTGTGACAACATGGAGAATATTGGAATATTCAAGAATCCCATAAGCACAACAGGACCAAATATGTTGAAAGAGATCATCATTTCATAAAGAGAAGATTGAATCAGGTCAGACAGAGGTGTCCTACCCATCTACCAATGCTCAAGTAGTTGATTGATGATAAAAGCAGCACCTAGAGTGCGGTTTGAAGAATCTGAGTAGCAAGGTAGGAACGATCAACACCTATTTGCCAGCTTGACAAGAAATGTTGGGAATCAAAGTGCTAAGCATTCTAGATGTTATTCTATACTCCATATTATAATCCCCGTTTTCCTATTTGCTTCAATACTGCTGTATGGCAAGGATTTATGAATCTATTAAAATAATATAACAACCCTACCTAAATAAAATCAGATTTTCCAGATTATAATCTCCTAGAACCTTGAGCTAGGAGAGACAGGAGTGTTGCCTTATGCCTATATCATACATAGTTGAACGAATGAAAACTTCAGCCAATGATAGAAAAATTGCTTCGCAGCCGATTTCAATTATATGTATAATGTTATGACCCCACACAAACTCCAAAACCTTTAATGTATTGAGGCAGATTACAAACGAAAATGAAATCCAGAGGTTAAAATCGTTACATTCAGGGACTAAAACTCTACTCTATTACACAGCAAGTCAAACAAATGAAAACTCAACAATAGGAATGCGTTTACAGCATCAGATTACAACACAACAATGAATTACAACTAACAAAGAAATACAAGACAAGCACACAGACATATATCACACAAAGATTAGCCAATCCACTCCAATGCCTGAGCCAAATTCAAATTCTTCTCTCCTTTTCTGCTCAGCCGAAGATAAGATTTATAGACCCAAAAAGTGACTTTCACAGCCCCCACCTCATAGACTTTGACTATAGCAGTCCTATAGCTAACCTACTCTTAATTCTTTCTTCACAATAGCAAATCAAACTTCTGCCCAACAATTAAGTATTTTTCCATTTCCATGAATATTTTCTAAACTTCCAAAAGTGATTCTAACATATTATAAATGTCTGCACACATATAAATACATATTCACACGTTTTATGCTAGAGATTATCTTACAACAAGAGAAAGAATGTTTGGCTGGCCTGATTAAACCCACATTTTAGAAATTTGCTCAAAGAACTAACCCAATTAACTATCAATCTCGAATATAAAATCAAGAAGTTTAGTGCAATCAAAATAGAGTTGGCTTCGGGAGGATAAATAGTTATGTGTTATAATTGTCATCTCTAATCCAGAATGAGCGCCTAGCTCACATTTTCTGAAAACCAAAAAATAATACCTCATTGTTTGAAATTAGCAATTCCAAGATCCATTCAGGCCATTCTTCCATGTTTGTCAAACTACTTCTATTTTCTTGATGACTGCAAGCCAAAAATAGAAGATCCTGAAATTGTATGCAAGCAAATAGCTTAGAAGCAAGACATAAACAACAAGATCTCGGATGCATATATAGGTAAAGACAGAAATCTTCATATAAGTCAATCGAATGAACAAGCTTCCCATGTGGACATGGCATATAAATAGGTTAAATTCATATTTTAACATTCATGCAAAAGGAACCACACAAGATCAAGACTCAGGGAAAAATATTTCATATAGGACAAGGGGAAAAAAAGAAAAGTAAATAATGCAAACAAGAAGAGTTTATGTTGATTTCAGAAGGAGGGACTGCATCTCGTTAGAGTATACACTTATCAAGGTGTGAGTGGTAATTGTTATGTGGCATTAATAATGGTTAGCAAGACATTAAGGATTAGTTAGTTAGGAGGTTCCCATAAGCACAATAGGTAGGAAATTTGATGTAAAAGGTCTCTGATGAACTGGATGCTACACTTTTACAATTTCATGTACCATATAGTGACAAAGCTTGTTTCTCGTCCATCTAGCACCATCACTAGAAGCATGGTCCGATAACCTGTCATTATGTTCATAGGTTCAGTTTGGTTTGGTTTTGGCGGGAAAAAAAAAAAAAAACAACTGAATTAAACCAACCAGTTTGGCAATTCGTGGGACCTACTCAGTTTTCTCTTCAATCGGTTTGGTTCAGTACCGTAAGTCATTTCATTCAGTTTGGTTTGGATCTGGATCAAGCTTGGATGAATATTTATGGATTTTTTTGCCGTGAATTTTTTCTTCAAAATTGATACTATGCTTATTTATAGATAATTTTTAACTATTGATTAGCATCTTTCAAGGGGGAAAAAATCTCTTAATGACAAATGAGAGCAGCAATAGGCTTGGCAAGAAAGAGGGCAGATGGGCTTTTTGTTTTGGCAACAGCAGGCCAAGTTGCATCTTGATGATCTAGAACATCTATGGCCACTTTGATCCTATGTCAAGCATAGAAATGGGCTTGAGGTGCAAGGGCTATAGGCTTCTTGAACACCAATGGGTTTTTAATGTTTCTTAGATGTTGATAAGATAGTCAATGTGTTTTTAACCTAAATCTTAGAAAACAGAGGTCCATGACAAGAAAAATGCATTGTACTGAATTTTTAAATTTTTTGAATTGTAACTATCCTTGAGGACAAGGATCAATTTGAAGGAGGACTATTGTTACATGGCAGCAATAATGGTCACGAAGGTGAGGTAAAACACAGGAGCGGAAGGGGAAGAGACAAGCAGAAGGAGAGATAGAAAGAAAGAAAGAAAGAAAGAAGGGAGGAAATATAGAGAAATTAAGAGAGAGACTGAAAAAACAATCAACTTAATTCAAATCATCCAAAAAGGTTTAACAAATGAGAGAACTTTTAGGCCATTTATAGAGTCCTAGGTATACCTATTCAAAAAAATAATAAATCCTAAAAGATGGAATAAAATAACTAAATCCTAGATAGGATAAGATGACACTAGATACCTTATTTTTATTCTAAAATAACGAAATATAACTTTTAAAGAATAATGTAAATTGAAATTAAGATAAAAATCCAATAACACATTTTCTTCATGAGGTTAATAAGGGTCAGCTGGTCTTCATCAAAAGGAAATAGGGTCAGCTAGTTAGTTAAGAGGTTCCTATCATGTAAATGGGAGGAAAAAGATGGTGCGAAAAGTGACTAATGAATTGAATACTACTCTTTTACGTTCCCAAGTCAATAATAGCAAGCTATCACATGATAATTTTGAAGTCTTTTACCTTCCTTATCTAATTTATAGAGAAATAAACAAATTCAGTTGTTGGAAGAAAGGAAGCTAAGAAACTATTCCTATGACTCACTATTAACTTTTGGATGCCTGATCATGAGAAACTTGAGACCAGCGAGGCAATATCAAATCCACGAAGTATGTAATGAGAAATTCAAACACAATCAAGAAGGTACATCCAAGGATAAGTAGATTGAGACAAATTCAGGAGCATAAATCTACCAAGTATAGACATGATATTTCAGGCTCATGAAACAAGGAACCAACAAATTACAAACATTAAATGCGGATGGCAAGCAATAGGAACTTAAGCTAAAACCTGTAGTGCTCTGCACTGCAAAGGCCTGGGTGCATGGGGAAGAGAACGCAAAAGCACCAGCAGAAGTTGTGAATGCTCAAAACGATGACCAGAATCATAGAAGTTCAAACCATCCTCCATTGAAGAGGCATTGATCTGAAATAAAAAAAGAACAATTAAAAAAAAAAGATTTTCATCAAAAGAAAAAAAATGACAACCAAAAGGGAAATTTTTTTTTTTTTAAATTTTTAGGAACTTGCTCAGCTTTTGTTGCATCCCAAGGGAAAAAAAAATTGCTCAGCTTTTGACATTTTGCCCCGGGGTTCTCTAAATAAACATATAGAGTACAGACATCATGGGGCTTTGCCATATGATATTTTGTGATGGAAATATATTTTTTTTTCCTTGTAAATATCTTCCAAGAAAGGGTTAGTGACTAGAATGTTTGTATTCATTTATTAGTCATTATTCTCATGCTTTTACTCAGTGCATATATTTAGATGCATTGTGCTATATTCAAAAATTATAAGAAATATATTTTCTTCCAAAATTCCACATTTTGACCCATTCTGTCAAGATATTAGGAGATGTTGATCTGAAATAGAGAGGGGCGGGAGGGAAGAGAAGCAACATATTCATGTATCCGACGCAGCATTAGTAGCAAGAATAAAAAAGCCAAGCAGGATATAAAGGAAATAAGGCAGAGGATGGAAGTGGCTGACAAAATATTAGACCATTAACTCAATTAAAAAGACAAATCAAACCCTAACTAGAAAGGGCTGTCATAGAAAGCCCGGGGGATAGCATTTGAAAATGAAAGATTAAACAATAATCCCACAAAAAATCATGATTCTAACAGTCACTGACATGTACGTTTCTATTAATATGAAATGGAGATGTGATGGAAGAATTTCATCATACCGAGGCAGCCAACAAAGTGGTGTAAACGTTGTTAGTTATTAGCCTGTTGGGAGCTGCTTGGAAAGCCTTCTGCAAGGCAAAAAGCAAAAGAGAAACCTTGTCATCAAACATGGTGCCACCCCCATCTTGCAGTCCAACGCCCAAAAGGTTTCTTGTTGTATCAGGAGCAGCATGAGAGTCAAATTTCAGATGCCCTGAAGCTACTAATGCACCCAAGAGGGCTATGATCCCGACAACAATACCATCACTGTTATCAATATTGTAAACATTGTTTCTTGCATTATCAGCACTAATGGAAAGGCTTATTCCTCCCAAATTATTGACACTAGAAGTTTCAGAAGTAGACTTCATCCTTTCAATATTCACAACAGCAGAACTTGAATCGGGATGACCTCTATTATCAACTAGTTGAGAATCTTGGTCATTTTCTTCTAAGGCTGCTTCACTTTTCTCAGCTGGTCTTTCATCATCTTGACTTTGTTCTGTAATTTCACTATTACCACCAACGGTAGCTTTTTCAGGTTGAGGAATTTTTGACATTGATTCCAAGACACCATTGTCCCCAGTCTTAGCTTCCCTCTGAAGCAGAACAAGAAGAGTTTCCACACCACCACATGCTAGGAATGCTTCTGCAAATGTGCGCGCTCTAGCTGTATTCGGCTGTACAATTAACCTGTAGAACAGATGCAACACCCTAGCAACCTGGAAAGTGAAGTAAACAAGGAGTACAATTTCTGAGAATAGTTTAATGAGAACTTTGTTTATTAAAAGAATAAGAGATAATGGTTCACATTAGACTTTTAGAATTTTAAAAGGAAATAAACATGAGATTAGTAATAGTCGGAAGTAAAAAAAATGTAGTTTATGTCATTAAATGTTATTAAACCTAACAGAGCATGCAGCAGAAAAATATTGGCCAAGCAGTAATCCTGGATTTTCTTCTGCTACTCTAAGAATCCCGGAAATTCTTTTCCTGCAGCAATAATCCCTGAAACTCAACACTATCTGTTCAACCCTACTCATCGATGCCTTTCTCAACCTTCTTTGTACATGCCCAATACCACCTTAATCAATTTTGTACCAACTTCTCCTCAATAGATGCCACACCAACTATTCCTCATATATGATCAACATGATTCTTGTCTTATATGACAAATCTTATCTACTCGTCATTAAAAGTAGAGAAGAAAAAGGATTCCACAAAAAATAAAATTTAGGAAAGGAGAAGACACAGATTATATGGATCAGAAATCGAAAACACAAGAAATGAGAAACTTAACCCCTACAAATATAGGTAAAAATATACTTTTAAATTTCACACTAAGTCTCAATGTGATCCTTTAACTTTATTAAATTTCTTTTTTAATCCTGAAAATATAATAAAAATTTTCTGATAAAATAAAACATTTCTTCTTCTTTGACACCATTAATGCAACGAAATTACAGAAAATGTTACATGATGTTAAATGGCGCATCCAAATCTAGAGAACCAACCGGATTAAATCAATAATATGATATTTGAGCTTTTGCTTTTTAACTAAAAAAAAGCAGTACTTCAGAAAATGATAAATATTAAATTTTTAGTTGCTTCATTGGCATAATGATGTGGTTACAATTATAAGTTAACTAACTTGCATGGGAGCATTTTCCATTAAGTGAATTAACGTGTTAAAAAAGAGGAAATTTCTTAATATATTTTCAAAGTTAAAAGAGTAAAAACAGACTTAAGAAAGTTAAAGGAGTGAACTAAAACTTATTCTAAAATTAACACACTAAAAATACACATTTACCAAAATAATAAGTGGGTCCCATCCAAAAAAAGCTTTAGTGTGGCAAAACCCCAATCTCTAGAGCAACCAGTAATGAAATTCTATTAGAAAAATTCAGGAAAAAATTAGTTGACCACCTCAAGCATGCAATATGTACATATCTGACCCCCTAAAAATTATACAGCATCAATATATCAATATATATTTAATAAAATCCATAGCAAATTGCATTGTTCATAAGCCACACAGAGTTCAACCCACTCCTCAAACTCTACACAGGGAAAACTTGTCTGGTTGGTGTTCTAGATAATAATATTATCGTAACATGAAAACTAGATTGGACTAAAAAAGCCTGCCACGCAATAAGAGACCGCATAAGCATCTTGAATACGTATTCCATTTTCACCCCAAAAAAAAAAAAAGGCGTTATAGAATGTTATCATGTGTGTGCCAGCCTAGAACAACCATTTCCAACAATGCCCCAACAAAGGGAAGACATAATCTTGGCATTACACTACATTACCTGGTTGAGCTGTGGACAATCAAGCATGAATCCTAGCAAACACCGGACATCATCAGAGACCATTGAAGGAGGCGCTGCCACTGTTAGAAGTTCAACTACCACTAAGAGCTCATCAACTAGAGCATTAAGTTCACCCACCGGACGTGTTGCCCCAGTAAGGGAAAATGTGTTCACTGAGTCCTTTTCAGGAATAGTCCAATAACATTTTCTGCAACCATCAAGAAGCATCTGAATGGCATTAGCATCTCGCATGATTGCTGACTCAGTGAAAACCATGTCTGCAAGTGATGACAGAAGCTTCTTTTGTATTCCATAACTGCACAAACTCCAAATTTTTAAATCTAAGAGCAAGGTAGTGAAGAGTTGTACTTTAAGCTTGTCATTGATATTCTGGGATTGACATAGTGAGACAACAGCAGCAACAAGCTCCTCATCTCCTACACCATCTCGCTTTCCATAACCAAGCAAAGATAGAGTCTGGAGAAGATAATTCAAAATTTTTGAAAGAATCTCAGGTCCTCTGCCGCGAGATAACTCTTCATTGTTCCTAGGATATTGTACAGCCAAGGATATAATTCTAAATATTGAGGAAGCAAGAGATGTGGTTGCTAAAGACAAAGAAACATTCCCCATCTGTGGTTCCAAGGTTATCTCATGTACACTGCTCACTGCCAAGGGAAGCAAAGCTAAGGGACCTCCATAAGCCAATGCCCACAAAGCATCAGCAGGTCGCGTTCGAGTTGCAACATGGACTTGCCCGAGAACTCCAGCTGGACGCCGAACCAACCCTGAATGATGATATAAAGTTGTAAGAAAAAATACGAAATAAAAAGCACAGTTTATCCATACTATGATAAATGATAGATTTTATATTGGTTTTACAGCAAATGAATGTCTAACATTATTTAAATAGAGACCCTACTTTCTTAAATGCTAAAATAGTGTGCAAAAACATTCCTGACATCGACACTTTTGTTAATAAATAGTTGGTGATGTCATATGCAAACATTGGCAAGAGAATGAAAGAACAAGCACTGCTCTCAGGAATAGGCCCATCCCCAGATATAGTAAAATGAAGGAAGGCAGTCTTTTTCCTCATCCCCTTTTGTATCAGGTCTTATTTGTATCAGGTCTTACTCAGTATTTTACAGGTGTACACAAGGGATTGGCTAGATAGACTATTATACTTAGCCCCCTCTAGCTTTGTAGCGTTGTTTGTTTTCTTTAATGGAATTTTAGTTGACCCCATGAAAAGGAACAATTGCAAAGAAACAACATATAATGATACATGAAAACTACTAATTTTGCTTATTCTATTGTGTATTAAAAGACTACAGTTCAATAGAAAGGATGAATGAAGCAACAGAATATTATCATGTGACTAAGAGCACATAGTATGTTTACACAAGAGTTTAACATGCATGGCTAACCTAGGATAAATGAGGCTATTCCTTAGGAAATTCTAGAACCATTAAAGGTTTAAATAATTAATCCCCATTGCAATATCTTCTGTTTCCATTGTCATCATTATTAGGATTAAAATCAAGTAAAGCATCCACTGGGAAAATTAATAATTAACAGAGTTAAGAAACTTCTAGTTCCCTTGTCTCAAATTAGGAAATGCATTTAGTTTTCTGCACATGAGGAAAATGAAATGAAGGCAAGCTGCTAACTGCTTCATACATAAACACCCAATTTCACGAAGTGGTTATAATATCCTTGAAAATATATGATAAAAAACACGATTTTAGATTAGAAAATTAAAAAAAACAAACAAAGAGGAGAACTTATAAAGCATACAACCCCACTGTGAAGCAAAAGGACAATTGCACTACAACATTACATGAACTTCCGATAATGACAGAAACCCAAAAGGCAACAATTTTTTAGATGCATCCTATGACACTGCACAGCGTACATTAACTTGAAAGATTATTTCTCAGACAACAGAAGCCTTTTTCAGGTTTTAAAAAAGAAAAAAAGACCTAATGTAAAAGAATTCATAAATCACATGAAGCATGGCAATGAATCTATCTGACCTGCAGCACCAGAAGGTGAAGCATCTGAGCAGTAACGGCCACTAAGCAAACAAGGATGATAAAGCAGATGAATGCAGCCACCAATTTCTGAATCTAAAAGAGCACTTTCCTCTGCCTTGCTCTGCATATAGGGATTTGTCGCTAGCCATGGCAGTCCTGCTGCATTACCAAAAGAAGGAATCACATCCCCTCCCCTGGAAGCCAACCGTGCCATCCTCTCTGGCCCAATCGGTTCCTTGAAGATATAGACAGGACCCATTTCAGCAAACAAAGGGCATTGACGACGACGGCGTTGTAAACCAGCCATTGTTGGCGGAGGGTTAGTTCCTATGCAGCAAAATGAAAGGGGTTTGGAAATTCGAGGAAACTCAAAAGGACGGCTTTCATATAAAGCTCCATCTATATATAGTCTAACTTCACTTTCAGCTTTCCCAATAATTCCATGCTTGCTAATATGCTCCAGACCAATGAAGTACCAGCACTGTGGTTTGAAAGCATGGGTAAAATGCAAAGAAGACTTCCTTCCCTTCCCACTACCAGTTTCAACAACCAAAAACTGAGCATGGAAATAAGCCTCTATACCCTGATTATCAGCAGATAAGAAACTGAACAGCCGTGGCATGTGTGCTGTACCTTCACCAGCAAGTGCACTAGCTGCTGCAGCAGCTGACATGGCTGATGATTTACCCGACTTTGCTGCAGCAGCTGCAGCAATCGCAGCCGCAGCTGTTGCCGTATTTAATGTGTCAGCAAATGATTCAATGTAAATCCATGTTGCAAACCCATAACCATTGACAAACGGCCAACGCCCTTCACCTGGACCAAGCAAACCAGAGCTTTCACCATCAAACTCAAAACTGCAGGCAGGTCCCATTGACTCCTTTCCACCTATAGCTTTCTCTAATGCAAGCATTAAACGTGGAGCCCAAATTGTATCAAGTGTTCTTCTAACAACTTGAAACCATCTGTGAAGATCACTTACACCAAGAGAGTGCCCTGCTAAGTATTGTATACAGTTACACAAAGGAGTTCCATCCCACCTCATTTGGCCACTTGAAACAACATCCTCTGTAAAAACTTTTTCTGCTGATTTCAACAATACTCCTAACAGGCCAGCCATTGAGCACATTGCTCTGTTTCTAGTACATGCCCGTAATATAGCAAGTAGCCCCCTGACCATTCGTGTCCTAGGTGACATGACATAGTCAGTATCAGCTACCCAAGGAAGCCAGGGAATCAGCTCAGCTGCCACAATGGCAGCCCGGGAATTAAGCATTACGCTTGGAGGGTTGTTATCCTCGTCCTCTTCAAAACTTTCAACACCACCCATTGTTGCAAGAAGTGAGTCTACTATTAAGAAAGCCACATTTTCCATTATTTCACCAGTACCAAAACTTTCTATGCCTCTTGCAATATTCTTTAGTTTCTCCAGACCTTCAGGTTTTCCCATAATAGCAGAATCTACTAAATGCAGTAATTCTGGAGAGACAGTTGGCATAGCATTCTTCTGCCTTGGCTTTGGTGGAGAACCAACAGGTGAATATCCAGTTGAATCAAGACCAGTTTGATACTCAAACTGATTCATTGTGTGGCCAAAATGCCCCTCAGACTCAGGGCTATATATAAATTGATCATGTTGCATGTCAGCAACAGGAGAGGAACCACTTTCCATCATATGCGTCCCCGGTGAACATTGAGAATCTTCTGTATTTCCACCATAGATTTTTTCTTCATTATCTAAATGAGAAGATCGGTTTGAACCTACAGACTCATTATTCTTCCCTTTATCTTTTAGAGATACCTGCTCAAAATGGTCCTCATCCACCCCTGTACTTGCCGAACCAATTTCCTTCCCCTGCAAGTCTATTTTTTCATCTTCATGTTCAACTCCAATACCAGGATGGAGACCCCCTACTATTTCCTTTACACCATTATCTACTTCATGAGTTTTTGACTCATGACCAGATATTTCTGCCTCTTGTGCGTTTTCTTCTTCTTCCATTATACTAGTTTTTACGAAACTGACAAATATTCATTCAAACAGTTAAAGCCTAATCCACCTGCAAGTTATAGACGTCATAAATCATCTGAGATTTAGATGCAGCACTAAAATATGAAGTTGGATACCATATTAACATTTACAATTGAAGCAACCGCATGCAGTAGTGGTGATAAAATAATTAACATTTGTCGCCAGTAATATGTATGGCAAACTTTTAAAAGAACTGTGCATCCAGTCAAAATTTTCAGCCACTTAGACCACCTAAAAGCATGAGTCTGCTTCTTTATTGAACACCACATTCGGCATGGAAAGACTGCCTACCAGATATAAAGAAGAAATAGTTTCAGAAATTACATAACAAACTAAACTAAAGTACAGGAGGTGAGCTCCAGTCTGGCTACATATATTTCGAAAGGGGAAAAAAAATCATCAGTTAGATCCAGCTTAAGACAGTTGTCATATTCAAGATTGTTTACACTGACGACAAATTTATCATCTAAGTAGCTCGTCTAAGATGCACATCAGCTTGGTCTGAAAACAGATTTACAAGAGAGAAATGAAGTGAAGTTCACGACACTAATTTACAACCAAAACAGTGAGCGAAACTGTCTGTAGCTAAGATTAGTCTTCCAAACATGGAATGTTATTCATGCTCTTTTCTTTAGTGGTTCCTCACCAACGAAAGATAACTTGATGCAGACATCAGACTTGATTGTGGCAAATAATCAGTTGACGTCATTAATTGAAGAGTAGTTGAATTGAGAAAGGAAAAAGGTTCGGGATCTTGTTGCGAAAGCAGACAAATAAATTTAAAACGAGAAACCACAAATCAAATTAGCTTAAATCGCCCCACATTACATAAAACATCCGTATATGAGTTTTTTGTTTTCAATGCATAGATGCATCTACGGATTCATATAATGATTGATCGGAGTTGGGTTAGTCAATGGTGATGCATAGATCCTAACCAAATTGGCATGCTTCATAAAAATGAAAGCAGACAAGAAACGAATTTGGTTCCAGTTCGTACCTTGCACAGGAATCCAGCTTGAAGCGCCGTTTCGGATTCAATCGTCAAATCCAATAGACGATTTGATGAAAATGTGAAAGAAATGGGGGAGAAAAAATGGACAGAGAGAGACTGGGAGAAGAGTGAATCGGAGGAGAAGGAAGAGGAGCCGAGTTGGGCGCGAGACAGATGGGGGTGGCCGGTTGCCTTGTCAAAAAATGAAAGAAAACAAAAATTATGGGGGTACGAGAGCGAACAAGGTAAGAAAACTAACTGTACTACCCACTGCAACGACTAATTTTGTTTAGTTAATACGTATAATTTGATGGCAAAAAAAAGTTAGTTAACAAGTTTTGACCAACTTGCAAATAATAATACATTTTATGACAATTTTTTATTTGAAATTTTACAATTTTCAATTTTTTTAATCATTTTTTCCAAAAAAAATGGCAGAAAAAGAAATTCAAGTTTCGCAAATTCCGAAAATCCAAAAGGTTTTACTGATCATTTTTCCAAAAGCCCCATTTGAGAACGTTTATTAATCCACTAATTGCAATTCTCACTAGTTTATTATAAAGATTTCCAACACTTTTTTTTTCAAGATGACGTGTTTATTAAAATGAATGATGAAGGCTTATTTTGAAGAAATTTACTACACTTAGAAATTAAGGATGTTTAAACCTTGCCAGCCTTCAAGTCCCAAATTAAAACTAGATTTAAATTAAAGGTCTTTTCCAAGGTAGGTAATGGGGGGGGGGGGACAGAGAGAGAGAAAAAGGAGTTAAATTGAGAGACATGAGGACTTTGGAAATTGTCCCCTGTTTTGGTTCCATGCCGAAATTGCATCTGAAATTTTTTTTTTTTATTATGAAATTGCATCTGAAATTTTATTTATCAATAAAATGGCCCCTTTCTGTTTACAAGTAACTCTTATGTATTACTCTCTCTGTTCCTTATTATAATAGACAAATAACTGAAGTACGTTGATCAAAAAAACAGTTAAAATTAGTTAAGAACAATTAATGTGTAAAAAATATAATTTTTTTTTCAAAAATGCCCTTGTTAATAAGGAGAGAGAGCATGAGAGAGAACAATTAAATTATTAAAAGAAAGAGAAGTGGGAGGGAGAGAGAGTGTGAGTTGGAGATAATAAATATGGATAAAATAGGAAATGAACACAAAAAAGTAGAAACAACTTTTAAGTGTCTCTTATATATAGGAACATGTCATAAGCATCAAATGTCTCTTATAATAAGGAACGGAGGGAGTAATAAATTGTTCCTACCAATATAATAACCCATCTATTGATATACTCTATCCTTCCATAGAGAAAATCATTCCAAATATTGGTGAAAACTTCAATGTTTTTCATTTCAATAGATCTTTTTAAGAGAGGCTTAACTACTCATTAGAGTTTCAATGTTTGTGAACTAACGGTGAAGTTTTCTATGTGAAAAGTCCTCCATGAGAGACTCTCAACAAATTTACTCAGAACCAAGAAAGGATTAAATATGTCTCCTGAGTGCCCCCTTGAGTGTCAATGTAAGGAATCACTAATGCACACATTGAGGGATTGTGAGAGAGCAAATAGAGTGTGGGTTCAACTACTAACCCCTTATTTTATTCTGCTTTCTTCTCTAGTGACTTGCAAGGCCGGCTTAAATGGAATCAAAGAAATCAAGTGGGAGCAAAAAAAATTTCCCAATATGGTCCTGGGAGAGAATCTCCGGCATTACTTGCTGGACTCTTTGGAAGAAGATATGCAAGTGAGTCATAGAAGGAACCAGTGCCACACCAACAGAAATCATACCTAGTTTGATGCACCAACTTATGGAATCAACTGACCTAGGAAAGTTTAATCATGGAATACTCAAGATCCCAAACCAAGCTCATGTCAAATGGGAGAAACCACCACATGGTTATGTCAAAATTGATGTGGATGGATCTACAAATCATCAACGTCATGGTGCAGGGGGAGGAGTTATTCGTAATGACCAAGGAACATAGTTGGTGGGTTTTCAACAAAGCTATGGCTATCACTTGTCCACAACAGCAAAGATTTTGGCAATTAAATCAAGATTGCAAACTTGTAAACATAGAGGTTTTAAAAAGATCAAGATGCATATAGATTCCCTTGAAGTACTTCACCAACTTTTGGTAGATAACTGGATTTCACACCCCCGTCGGGGTGAGATCTCAGTTATCAGATCCTTGATTAATTCAAACTGGACCTGGAAAACTAAACACTAAATCCTTAAGCCTTTCATAACTGAAGGTGTAAATGGTGTCCATTGTGTTAATGTCTGAAGGTCTAAATGGTGTTTATTGTGCTAATGTCTGAAGGATTTTTTTAATTCTGAAGAGTGACGCATCTACATTTACCTACAGTAGGTAAATAACTCTTAAAGACAATGTCATCCAGCATGACTCGAACCAATTTGCTATCCAATTTACTCTATAATACAGACTTTGGAAATTGTCCCTTGTTTCAATTCCATGTTGATAAAATCACTCACTCTCACTGTGACGCAATTCAATGCAGGGACCACCTTACAGCAGCCACCAAACTCTTGTCTGGTCGAACTTCATCTTGATGCTGTCCAATTTTATCCGCTTATTTTTTAGTTTTTCACTGGTAAGTTAATCCTTCGTTAGGCAGTTTCCTTTCCAAGTTTTCACTTGCCTTGTAATCCCCAAAAAAAAAAAAAAGCTTCAATGTTTGTATCAATTTTTTAGGAAAAAACCTTCGTTTTATTTATTTTTTTCCTTGGGAGAAAATATTTGCATAAGGTATTTTAAAGAGATTCCTTAAGATGAGATATCAGGTTATCAACAAAGTTAGATCTAATAGAAAAAGACTAGTCCCTCGTAACGAAATGAATTAAAGTTCAAATCTCCATTAGGAGAGGTGCTAACATTAAGTAGAGGTGTCAATATTAAGTATATGAAAGGATCATATATAGAATTGTTTTTAATAAGAAGATATTAGGTTTTGTAATCACATATTGATGTATTGATGTAAAGGTGTGAGGAGAGTCCAGGAATGTACTATCCATTGGTTGTTCTATGGTTTCCCAAGAACATGGATTAAACTCGCGTCATTAAATAAAAAAAAAAAACTAGTGTCATTGAAAAAAAAAAAAAAAGAGGTTCGCCTAGGGACTAAATATTACAGTCCATATTTATTTAATCATACATGTTGGAAACAAGAAGGAAGTCAAGCAATAACAATAATACTGGAACGAATTTTTTAAGTCACCAATTGCTAAATGACGCTTCCTCCCATTTTAAATATCAGAGTTAAATAACTAATGTATAAATATAAAATTTATTTATTTATAAAAAATGTTTTGCTTTTCTTAAAGAAAGAAATAATTTTAAAAATTAATTATAAATTTAGAAAATAAAATACAGCGAGGGCTTACATTTATATTTAGATCAAAACAAATCCCACCAACTCTCATACTTGTGATCAAAAGGAGCATACTTTCATGCTAATTTTTGTTATGCATATAAGTTTTATATGAGAATATTTTGTCAACATTTAAAATTTTAATATTGATATTTTTTATCAATGAATTTAACGGTATTGAGATTAGAAATTTAAAAAACGGAAAAATCAGAATAGAATTTAATATGAAATTAAATATTTAAATGATTGAGTATGGTAAAACATTCCTACATTTGATTTTTAGAAAGAATCCCCCTGGTCATAAACCACAAACAGAAAAATGGGGTTTCTTTTTGCAAAAATAAAAAAGTAACACAAGTGGTTAGATTGAGAAGGGAAACCAAAATTTTTATAAATTTATAATTAAAAAAAAAGCAAGTTAAAGTGCTAAAGTTTTTTTTTTTTCACTACTGTCTTTGTCCTGTTCCCCTAATTTTAAACATTTCTGAAGCATTCTATGTCACTTTCAAGCCCGTCATATAGGCATATGGAAATGTTAAATTTGGGGCTGGGGCATGGACACGTAGTGGTTAACTTGCTTACTCTGCATTCCGAATACAAGCATGTGGCTACCCCTAATCTCCTCCATCCCTGCACTGCCCTCAGCGCAAGCCGTTTTGCATTGTTCTCTTGGGAGTCAGTGGTTTTATCCACTACGCTCCCAACACGAGTTAGAATTACCAACCTCACATATTTTTTTTTTTTAAAAAATTAGCGTAGAGTTGTTTATATCCCAGTTGTTTAATCATATTTATTACTCCTCCGATTTTTAAAGTAGGACTTAAATATTGAGTTGATTTTGATTAAATATAAGACATTTTTTTATATTTGTTAATTTTTTTCAAATTACCCTTTATTAATATCCTTTCAACCACAATTAAATAAGACAAAAGAAAAGATATTAAGAAAGATTATATAATATTTAAAAAAAATTATATTTCGCTTTTTTTTTTGGGTTACAAACGCAAGTAGAAACAAAACTAACAAGCTAAGCTAGTTGACATTCCTATTATCAATTTGCAATTGACCCCAGCATTCTCTAGGAGGTTGAAGCAAGACAAATATAATTAACTAATTTATGTAACTTTTTTAATCTAATTAAATTAGTTAAATATGTATTATATTAAGAATCAGAAGAATATTTTATTATTGTTAGTTGTTAAAATGGATATCTATATTTGTGAACTCAGCTATAACTACGAGTATTAGCCATTATAATGTAAATTAGAGTTTGTAAATTTTTATATAAACACTTATTAGTTTTCTATTGTTAATTGTTAAATCCGCATACGTATTTATAAATTCACCTAGTTGTTAAAATGCGTGTGCACTTAGAAATTTACATATAAACCTAACACAATGAATCTCAACAACTTGAATTAAGTTCTGTATGTGAAATAAATCTTTCTATTAAGATTTGTACTACCTCTAGTTTTTAATATAAAAGGTAGATAATTAATCTACAAATATTAAGTAATTAATTATTTGTAATAAATGAATATTGTCTTCCTTAAAATATACATGTGCATTAAAATGAAAATTCTTTAAGGTATTATCTTGGAGAAAAATGAACAAGTATTAAAAGATAAAGTAAATTGAAATCTTCTATTTAAAACCAAGTTAAATATCTAACTACTTTCTTATTTGCAATCACAAGTAGCATTTACAATTGAAATATCGATTTTGTCATATCTAGGATATATTTTTTGAGGGTGATGTTTCATATG